CAGACAACATCATCCTCATCCGCCTCCTCCAACCTCTGCTTCGCGATTTCCTCTAGGTTTCTGATGGCACCTTCGACCACATCAATATCTTCGAACTCCTCATCAGATACTTCTTCATCGGATTCACCAGCCTCCTCATTTGAAACACCGGCAGCGCTAATCAGATGATTCATCACACTAATGCGGTATCTGAGTTCGAGGTCCCAATTTGGAAGATCTTCTTGCGTCTTTGCAGTGATATCAAATTTGTGGCCATCACTAATTCCGCGCTGGGTCACTGAAGAAACGAGGCGGGGTTTTTGAGGCTCGTCGTCGCCGAGCTGGAAATTCTCCAGCAGCTCATAGGGATCTTGCGCCAGATCGCTTCTCCATGCGCGTAGTTCGTATTGCCTCGCCTGTGTCTGCAGCAAATGCACGCGCAAGCGAATGAAGTGGTCGCCGTTCGATTGGGTGCCTCTATTGATTGGCTGCAGGGCTAGTCTGCCGTCGTTAAACATTCGACGCGGAATATGGTCAAGGCAGATCAGGTTGACGGTAGAGTCCAGGTCGACCATTCTGAGAGCATCAGTGAATCTTTGAGCTGTCCCCCGTCCGAAAACTTTTATTAGAGCGTGCACGCTCGTCACGATCGTGCCACTCTTCTTGATGGAGGCAAAAGGGTAGATATGAGCAGCTTCACAGTATCTGGTGCCTAGCAAAGGGCATGTCCCATTGTCCCGCTGCTTTGCCTATCGAGAATTAGCTTACCACTTACTGAATTGAGAGAACATCTCCTGGCTCACCATTTGAACCGCTCGCTTGTTCCTGTACTTCTTCTGGTTGCCTGGCGAACTTGGTGAACCAGATTGCGCAGACTGCTGTCGGTCTCCGGAACCTGCCTTCCCAGGAGAATTCTGCAGAGGTGATAAGAGCGGTCGTGGCCTGATGCTGCTCTTCGTTGGGGTGCTTCTTGGACTGCGGGTTGCCGGTTCTCTTCGTGGAGACTTGGCACTTGGAGACGACGCAGCGGAGTCCACCTCAATATGGTCGGGAGTCTTGTCTTTGATTCAATATATCAGCGCGATGAATAGCACTCAATAGTCTGGGAGATAGAACTTACCCAATGCCACAAGCTGTTGGACCGCCTCGCTGATAAGCATCAGAGACGGACCAGCATCTTCCACGGACGACTCTTTGAGGATATCCCTGGAGTTCTAAAGCTCGGATAAGTCGTTACTCATGCAAGCCGCCCAAGGGTAAGGTGCATGGAGGTCTTCGGGTATGGAGCTAGTGGTTTTACCGTCGAGAAACTTCATGCGCTTGATATCTTCCAAGATTTCCACCCGAGCCTCACAATTATTCAGATAAAGCTTTGATTTTACGGATGACCAGGGGCAACTGAGGGGATCGTTTACCTCTTGAAGATGTTCGTCCCTTATTCCCTTTTGGTTGGAATGGTTTATAATTTGCTTGAATCGCGAAATGCTGTGTATGATCGTGTTTATACTGAGAAATGTTCCCCCAGAGCTTGCGAGTCAGTATGTGTCTGGTCAAGTCGGGGGTAGAGGAGGACACGATGGGCTGGAGTGGAGATTAAGCTTCTTCCAGTGTGGTGTATCCTACAGACCTCGACGAGTCCTGCTGGACGCTCTTCTTCAAGAATTAGGATGCTACATGGAATTGGTGATTAAGGGAATGATTAAGGGAACAAACGAAAATGCTTGGACAGACCTGGTTGGAGCACGGTACCAAAGGGGGGGGGGGGGTTGAGAGCAAAAGTCAAAATCTCAAGCCAGTCATGACCACACAGATGACAGAAAGAGGTCAAGGAAATTAGAACCTTTGCGAACACTCCACCAATCAGACTTGGAATGCGCATGGGTGGAGAAGGCTGTCGAAAATGCCGACGTACCTGGATGAACAAGGTAGCATAATAGAGGTCAGCTCTCTGTTAATTTGATAGGTTTATGTGATTTGTTGCCATGACAGATCTCCAAACCAACTTTTTTCAGCCTATGGTATGGTTATACTTGATCTTTATTCAGTCCATCCTATGCTTAAACCGGCGTGATGGCTTTTGTTCAAGACAAGCCAACTGTGAACAAAGTGATCTAAGCATTCACTTCAAAAATGCAAATGGCATATACCATGCAATATAAATACAGGGATAGCAAGGATGGCAATGATAGTAAGAGTATGAAGAAGCAGGATAAGAGTTTGGTAAAGATCCTAAACTTAAACCCGAATACTATTCCACTCTTCCATTCTACTAGTACGTTGTCTACAACTGAGAAATAAATACTTCATCAGATGCGCTCCTAGATCTTGAGTCCTAAACTGGAGCCTTTTAACGATATTTGGGATAAAGTTTGCTATGAAATAAACCGTATGAATGGGCTGAGTAAAATGAGTACAATACGTGGTTCATGGGCGGAAGTGGTCTTCAGCCCAACTGCGAACACGGTTAAAGTTGCGGCATGTGTGAGGTTCTTTCCAGTCGGCAACAACCCTGCCGGCATCATCCGACCAGCTGAAAACCATGGGAGTCAGGTCACCGTGACATTGTACCGTCTGCCTAAGATAGTCAAGACAGTGGTCTATAGCTGCAATTAGCCGCACTGTTTTTGAGCTTTAGGACAGAAGCATGGCTTACCAACGTGCATCCTGTGAATTCTGGGGCTTTCTTCCTCCTTGTAATAATCTGGATCCAGAGCCATCCTCACTTTGTTCTTCAACACGTGTTAGCCATCATTGCAGGCGAACCGCGGGCCAGAGGTACTTCACCACGCAATGGAGGGTATGCATCACATCTAAACTAGAAAATCTTAGTTCGTTGCTGAAAACGCTACCTGTCGGAATGCAAAACTTACGCCACCTCGTAGTTGCCGTGGCTGTCTTTCCACGTGCGCCCAGCCATGCTCGATGCTTCGCTCCCAACAAGGTTCATGTACTGGCCTAAACTTGGTCAATGTGGTTTCGGTCGGATTCCCTCGGCCAGTTCACCTTTTAGCAGACTCTTCCATGCTGCATCAATCTCTGGCGATGGAGGCCCGACGTATTGAGGCTGTCCTTCAATTACCTCACGGTACAGGGTCCCATTCTTGTAGAAGTGAAGGCCACCAGTGAAACGTACTGTTTCACTGGCAAGTACACCTTTGATTGGTTCTTTGTAGCTCTCAATGTCAGCTCGTGGTCTGCCTTTTGTATGAGACCACTGTCTGGCATACCTAGTTCGGTAGGGAAGCCTTTGAGGAATCCGCTGTCGATGCGAGCGCCTGCTAGCCGAGTGTGAAGAACAAACAAGGCAATGACAAGAATAGGGAAAATGGCAAATAATAGCAATGAAATGAAGTAATAAGACCTAGAAACTGACACAATCGGCGACGAGGGCCTTCTTCGCAAAGGCAGCTGGTCTTCGCTACATTCGGAGCTCTCTTCTACAGACACATACTGCGTTGACTTGTCTGCCTTGAAGAAGTTCATGGTAACTAAAGTTTGTGTGGGAGAATAGATCAGTGACGGGTGACCACTTGGTTCATCAAAGGGAGGTTCTGGTTTTGGGGATTAATGAACCCCGACTGCAACGACCACAAGGTGCCCTACGACTAATGTGTCATCCAATGGCAACAAAGATCGTCCGGTACTTGACTGCAATGCCGGCAAAAGAATGCCGTTCGAGTGTGAACTGCTAGAGAAACAACTCAAAATAGGCACTATTTCGAAAGCGGGTTCGCCGAACGCCCGCAGATGTCGTTGGACTTTTCCGTCTCTGGCTGGCGACTCAGTCCGGGGTGGAGCTGTTCGGGTGCAAATGACGACTCCCTCCCGTTGAAGCTTTGACTGCCAAAAGTCAAAACATGGGACCGACACAAACTCAATGGCAGAGCTGCGTTGATCTTGACATCGTCACATTGACTCTGTTCGGCACTCGACTTCGGTCCTCGGATAGGAGTACATCGCCGATCGTACCCCTCCATGGTCAGAATCCATGCCAACGGCGGAACGGCGGAATTTGCTGAAGCCTAGACTATGGATCTTGTATCCGGCGCATTATGCGCTGAGCTTCTTTACGGGGAGATGTAACCAAAATCTAAAACCCCATGTCGTAAAGTACGGGTATTGATGATACCCTCAGCTTCCGAGCCGTGCAGAGTCATGAGATATCATAGAGAGTCATCAAATGAGTCTCACGGCTAAGTAGACTCCAATCGGGTAGATGCAATACCCCCGGGCCCAAATTCCAAAGGTCACCTCATCGTCCCGCCGTAGTAGACAATCTCAAAGCCTAGGTCTCACATCGTCTTTGCAAAGGACCTCCAGGAACATCACTTACACACCTAAATCCATTCTCATCAGTTCAAATACACCATGTCTTACGATAGTGAGGATAGCACCCGCCCCATGCTCACTGAGGATGAGCAAGAGAAGGGAACTCCTCTTTCCCCCTCACCAGAGCTTCAGCGCCGCTACCAGCGCGAGGTTCTCTCCAAGCTCCTCATCGGTCTGGCCTTGAGCATCATCTTTGCCTTCTCCGTCACCTGGGTCTTCCAGTCCATCGTCCCGCCTTCCCGCACCAACGCCCAGGGCATCATAGAGAACCCCTGTGGCAACTCGTCCAGCGAGGCTCAAGCCCGCGGTTGCCACTTTGACGTGCTCTCGTTCTGCTGGGTGCCGGAGGAGTGCTTCGACCGTGAGTTGACGGACAAGTTCCGCAACGCCGGGCCGTGGGTGTTCTACACCGACCAGAACAAGACGGCGTCAGTGACTGAGGAGCAGTTCGGCTCTGATACCCAGCCCGTATACCTCACCAACAGGCTTCATAAGACGCACTGCGCCTACAACATTCTCCGGTTTCACAAGGCACTGACCGAGAATCGCATGGTCCACCGCGAAGACGTCTTGACGCACACGCAACACTGTACTCAAGTTCTCACGAGGGTTAATGAGCCGGACGATATTGAGGTTAGAGCAAAGATTCAGTACCCTGACTGTGGGCACTTTTCAAAGATGTTCCCGGGAAAGGCGAAGGAAGGTGTGCCTGGCCACAATCATGGACACTCCCACATAGGGTGAGACTAGGGATCGTACAACCAGATAAAGTGCCTATACTATGACTAGTACAACAAAAGCTTTTTTCTTGGCTGTACAAATGAGATTCTTCACTATGACTGTATATGACTGTTGTACTCTCGTAGCGGGGAAATGAGGGTGTCACTGGGCCACTCGATTTTGTCATCCAATAGGCGCCAATCTCAACCTCTAAACGGCCACTGAACAAGCTCTTGAACACCATAGTCTGCATTCCGCCATTTTCTCCAATATCACAGTTCTCGATTCGTACATTTAGTAGCAATATCAACATATCACAAGGCGCGAGTAAGCCAGATAAGAGAATGCATATCAGTTGTGCTACAACTACGAATCTATCCGCGACAAATAGGCACGTCTCTTATTCTTCTCAATCTGTCACCCTCCAACTCTTGGGTAATGCCCGCTCGGGTTCCTTTGACCACGCCAGTAGGGCATCAAAGTCATTGCAAACGTGCATGACCCCATGATCAGCAACCCGATGCGTGTCACCATCGATATGGCCTTCGGCAGTGGAGTCAGCAAAGCACATTAGAGCCTGCCGGACGTAGTTGAAGCAGTGCGCCTTGTGCTCCTCCCACGTTAGTGTGACCCCGCTATGATAACCAGGCAGCTCCTCCTTGGGAACACCGGCAGCCAAGAGACCAAAATCCTCCAGGATGGACGTCTGGTGACTTAGGCGTCAGAAGTGCGAAGAACGAAAAGATCGATGAGATGACTTACCAGACAGTGGATCTGATGGAAAGCTGCAATCTCGAACAAGTCACCTGAAAACAGCTTCTGAGGCCCGCTCCCGTCATATGGGAAGGCCCGGACAAAGGCTGGTAGTCTCGTTAGTCGGCGTTAAAAGCCTGCTTCAATGGAAGCTTACCATGGGAGAGACCTTGCCAAGAATCAAGAGTCTCGTTCAGGACACCCTGATCATGGAACGCATGGGCGGTGACCTCGTACTGGTCAGGGCCCGACGGCTTGGGAACACCTCTCGAGCTCACATCTACTCTGCAGGTCAGCGGCATTCATAAGGTGAGGAACTGAGGCTTACCATGTGGGACAAAGTGATTGTAGTCGCTTCCCACCGGCCAAGCCGTTATTTCGTGTCGCCCGGCGTCCTGTCTGAGAACCGCAGTGGTTGTCCCCAGAAGGCAAAGAATGAGGATAATATCAAGACAGCAACGTAACATCTCACAACGTGACATGGCGGTCCAGCGGATAGAGCCACGATCCAAGGTGTCAGCAAATCCAGAAGAATCCGTCTCACCGTCCGAGGAGGAATTGCGTCCAAGCAGTTTGCTTTCTTCCATTACAAAAGTGAGATATAGGTGTTCTACGATTATGGAGATTGATCAATGTCAGTTGGAAAGATGAGGCTGGTGTGGGGAGATGGGAAACCACAGAGTGCAGTAGATTTTCCTAACTCGTTGTTGTCGTCCAAGATGTCGGCACGGCAGGCTGCGAGGTTGTTCCTTTCCTTGCCGTCCAAGCTCTGTCTAGTGCGTTTTGATCTACCGAGCTACTCGGGTGCCATGTGGCCCTGATCTTTTCGCCATCGATCATGATCCGATGCCTGCTAGCGTGTACGTCTACTAGAAAGGAAGCTTTCGGGAACCACAGACAAGCTTTGGGTTCCGGAAGAGGTGCTTCTAAGCGGTCGCGTCCAATGATTCAAGCCAAAATAGCCGCCATTACCGATGAACCCGATGGGGTAACGCACTTGGTAGACTACGCGCAGAACAACATCATGGTTCATGTCACCGGCTTCCTGGCATATAACCAAAAGTCTAAAAGGGGGCTGCCGTCTTCCGCGTGTTGTTGGCCATGATCTACAAAGCACTAGTGTAAACCTTTACCGGAGTCTTTAGAGAAAGATCCAGCTGTGTCATTGACCAGCAGGTACCATGTGGGGAGTATGAATATGAGCATGTAGCCTTTGTGGCCCTTGCAGATAGATCTCGATTAACCAGGACAAACAAGGTCTAAAGACTAATAGAACGTGTGACAAAGCGGAGTCAAAAGGGTGAAAGATGATTGGTGCGCTATTTCGAAACGTCCAATATCCCGGGGAGATAGTCTCCCCCCTCACATGCGCACTAAACCTCCCGGCGCGTCCAGATGTTCAACCCGATCTTTTTGCCGCCTAACGCCGGAAGACCGGCATGTAGCGTTCGAACATCTCCGGTCCCATCGGAATGGAGATTCCGCCAGAAGACGGCACTGCCGGCGACCGCTCGCACTGTCAGCTCTGTCTGGTCTGCGCAGTCGACCAGGTTGCACCACCGCTCATCCTCGACATCCCAGTCCACCGAGATCTTGGGAAACCGTGTCCCGCAGTTGGCACACTCCACATCGAGAACAGCGAAAAAGGTCGTTTCCCTGTTTGTCGTCTGATTTCTCGCCGCGGGGTTCGCTGCCCAATCGTAGTGATTCGTGTACTGCTGCCCCTCCAAGTACCGCGTCACTTGCAGATCCTCCATCATGTCAAGGTCTACGTAGCCCTGAAACTCCGAAGCGCGGGACCTGATGCATTGGATGACAGAATCATCCGAAGGCAAGTACGCCGTGGAACTGGTTCGTTCCTGCGCAGCAATGGATCGCCCGTCAGTGCCGATAGCGCGAGAGCGCTGGAACCTAGGCTGCCTGTATCGAGTCAGTCAACAAGTATACCCCGAATTTTCAACAATAGAGAAGAGCTTTGACGTACGCGAACTGCAGCAGGTACTGAGACTCCTCTGGAGTGATAAAGTTCTCAATGTGCTGAATGAGTGGATCATACGACAACGTCCGTACCGTATAGCGCGGGCGCGGGCAAGAGTTGCCGAGTGGGATCTGGAGCTCCGTCTGGGACCGAGACTTTGCAGAGAAGAGTGCCGCTAGGAGAGCCGCCGCGAAGGACATGGACATGAATTGCTTGAGAGCCATTGTGCAAAGAGGGGGAATGTTGGAACGGGGTTGACTGAAAGAGGTTAGAGAAGAAGTTTGTGGTCAGAAATCGCAAACGCTAAGACCAGCATCGTGGGCCCGACGGATATCCGCCTTATATGCCCGATCGAAAGGCTTCCCACGGGACTTGAGAGAAACTGACGATTCATGCCTAGAGATGTTTCCTTGGACCACGAAAAACTCTGAGATTCTTCAGAGGGGTTAGATTCATGGTGATCTCGATCCCCGAGGTTCAAACTTTGTCAACTTGAAGTTCCCGATGGGAGACGCAATCATCTGGACTTGTTCTCGTCGACGGGCGGCGATGCGTTGACTTTGATTTTCGGAAAAGGCTGAACGGATCAACGAGTCATACTATCCAGCTGTAGCTCTGCTGTGGACTCGGAAATATGGCGCATCACGAAAAACAAGAGTGACGACGCGTTGACGCTATCACGAACAGGAAGTTCACGACAGGGCGTCGAGTGACGAAAGCACCCGTATCCGTCGGACCGATGGTGTGGCCTCTGAATCTTGAACGAAATGGCAACTTCAACGATGAGTTGTCAGTCGAGTTGACAGCCAAGTTGAACAGAAAAAAAAATATTTAAGGGTGCATCTCGTCTCGGAAACAGCAAATATTCTCTTCACTCACTCATCAGGTCAAACACCTTCACAGTCTTCCAAGCTTCTTCAACATCTTCAGTCTACACCTTGCCTCCAGCACCCTTCTTCACAACACATTCATCCCTCCTCTTATAACTCCAAACGCCATCATGCATATGACAAAGGTCACCGCCATCCTTGCCTTCGCCGCAAGCCTTGCCGCCGCCGCTCCGGGTGCCAAGCTCGTTCCGGAGAAGCGCCAAACCACCGAGTTTGGCCCCTATCCCGAAGACAGCTACCAGGGAAAGGAGAATGGAAAGCGCCAGACCACAGAGTTCGGCCCTTACCCTGAAGATAGCTACCAGGGCAAGGCGAGCCAGAGGCGCCAGACGACCGAGTTCGGTCCCTACCCCGAGGACAGTTACCAGGGAAAGGAGAACGGAAAGCGCCAGACTACAGAATTTGGTCCTTACCCTGAAGATAAGTACCAGGGCAAGGAGAACCAAAGACGCCAGACGACCGAATTCGGCCCCTACCCTGAGGACAAGTACGAGGGCAAGACGAAACGCCAGACCACGGAGTTCGGTCCGTACCCAGAGGACAGCTACCAGGGCAAGGAGAACAGCAAGCGCCAGAACACTGAGTTTGGCCCGTACCCTGAAGATAAGTACGAGGGCAAGGCCAGGCGTCAGACTACGGAGTTCGGCCCCTACCCTGAGGATAGCTACCAAGGCAAGAGCTCGAAGCGTCAGACCACCGAGTTTGGGCCTTATCCCGAGGACAAGTACGAGGGCAACAGCATGAAGGAGAAGCGTCAAACCACAGAGTTCGGCCCATACCCCGAAGACAAGTACGACAGCAACAACATGAAGGAGAAGCGCCAGACCACAGAATTTGGACCCTATCCCGAGGACAAGTATGAGTCTACCAACTCCAAACGCCAGACTACGGAATTCGGACCCTACCCTGAGGACAAGTACGACAGCAACAACATGAAGGAGAAGCGTCAAACGACTGAGTTCGGTCCTTACCCCGAGGACAAGTACGAAGCCAAGAACTCTAGACGCCAGACTACAGAATTCGGTCCCTATCCCGAGGACAAGTACGAGAACAGCGACAAGAAGGCATAGAGTGAGTTTTTTTTATCACCCTCCCCTTACCTGCACCACGACTTTTCCATCTAACGCAATGAACCAAACTTTACAGCTTCTCGTCAACTTCACGAGTTTGAATCCGAAGTCTAGAGTCGGAAGCTACATGTAGTCTCGCGGCGACAACAAGAACCAGAAAAATGTGAAAAGGGGAGCAAAAAAACAGGCTTTGGATGGGGGGTTTCAGGGAATGTGCATCGCTGGGGGGGGGGGTATGTCTTGGAGTGACATGTGACTAGCTCGCAGCTATAGGTTGAAACTCGTGTTGTGTCTTTTAAACAGGTCCTTTCCCGTGATGTTCATGCCGGAGTGCCTCGTACTCTGATGTTGACTGGTGTAATTTCATCGCAGTTGGTACAGGAGCCGTAATTCTCCATCATTTCAACTCATCTAACTGAAGGGAAGTTGTCAAGGCAAGGCTACGTGAGACAGCCGAATCAACAGACACTCAGCGTCGTGACTGAAATTCACAAGACTCATCCGCCCAGCACCACATTTACGAAAAAATCACAAGAGGCAATAGTCTGATATGGCATGTCAACAGCAAGTAGTATTGCTCTACTCTTCCGCACGTCCGTGTCGTTCATTCCCAAACATGTACAAGAAGCATGCTTTTTCGCAGCCGAGCCCGCTACCCTCTCCCGTCATCCAGTTCCCCTCCTCCCATTCTCCAGACATCAGTGACATGACAATAAGAAGCGAAATTACATGATTTGTAGGGCTCTCGGTGACGTGGCAGCGCGAGAAAGCTTTCATGAGATGCAACGGCACGATGAGTTGTCTCGCAGGACTACAAACGTGTACTCGAAGACATAGTAGGTAAGAAAGGGACAAAATATCAAAAACATTTGTGGTATCTTTCCGGCAAAGCATGCTGCGGTGCGGTAAAGACGTGAGCAAAGCAGCTATATCGGTAACAGAAAAAAACAAATCAGCTGTAGATCAGGGGGTATGATGGTTGGCAAAGACAAGCCCGTGCCAAGTAACGACCGTAAGAATGTGTTTTCCCAAGGAACCAATACGCCGCCGCCTGGTCGTTCAGGCAGTCCAAGTGTTCCCATTAAGTCAGAGAAAAGTATGGCATATCGAGGAGGCCACTTAGGCCTCCTCCATGATGCCGCCCTCGCCGCCACCCTCTTCGCGCCATTCACGACTCTTGCTGGTGAGCTTCTTCACACCCGCCACGCGACCAGACCACAAAGATTCAATCGGCGTACGGAAGGTGAAGGCTCGCTGAGAGCTGATGACTCCAATGGCTTGGAGAACAGCTTTGCGGCTGTCGCGGCCAAAAACGGCAGGGTGGCTGATCCACTCGAGACTGCTCTCGAGCTCATGATCCAGAGCGGCAACGGTGTTGGCATCGATACCAGCACCAAGACCGAGGCCATCGTTGGACCGACTGCGTCCGATGCCAGTGGCCTGGTAGCCATTGACGGCGGATGAGTTGGCCGATTGAGTGGGCGATGGAGTTTGTTTTCTGTCGGGGGTGATGGAGGGTGAGGCATCGTTCCCGGGGTGTGGGGTGGAAGGGAGGGATCTGGTTGGCGGTGCCGTCGGTGGAGGGATCGGAGGCAGACCACCTTTTCCAAGACCCTTCAAAATAGATCGGGTCTCGTTGAGTAGGGTGTGCGCTCGGTCGTGCTGACCGCGCGACACGAGGGTCAAGGCGCGAGTTAGCATATCCGACGTCAGCAGCTCCATGCGCCGCTGGACGATGTGCGGATGAGGGGGGATCGGGGGCGATCCTGCCCATGAATTCTTGTTTTTCGCCTGGGCCGGAAGCATGGTGATGGCGAGCAGAGAGGGGCGGGGAAGATGGGAGAGCGTGCCATCCCGGAGAATGTCACCCCATGTAAGGTCAGCCTGGATGAGAGGGACCTCCTCGACAGAAGTCACCCGCTGGTCGTCGCCATCGCCAGCTCCGCCGAGCGCCTCCAGACCCGAGACGATGTTGTCCCAAGGATCCTGTGGCAGTTGTTCCTGGGACGTGTTATCCGGCACAATGACCAGCTGCACCAAGACGTCGCGCTTGTCACCGAATCTAAGATCGCCCAGGGAGGCCTCAGCATCACGACCCGTCGCGCGCTTGGTAATCTGCAAGGCACCGCTGATCTTGTGGAACTTGGCCGGGGATCCTTCAGGCAGCTTCAGCTTGAGCTTCACGTTTTGGTGCGAGAGCGTCTGCATTGCGCCGAGGCAGCCGGCAAGGCACTCGCGAAGCATCATCCAGTCCTTGACGTAGGTATAGGACGCCTTGGTGCGGGTGGAGAGCTCAATCATGGTATCGGGTTTGTGCGTCATGCCGAGGCCAAAGGAGTGGATGGTAATCTTGGCTGCTTCGGCTCTCGACACAACAAAGTCGACGCTGTCGGCGTCCGAAGTAGAGGCGTCGCTGATGAGCATAATGGTGGCGATCGGGTTGTTGTACTTGCGCTGCATGAGCAAGTCCATGGCGACATTGGCGCCTTCAACCACATCAGCGCGGTGGCTCTTTTGCCCAACCGGCTTGATGGAGCCCAACACGTTGCCCCAACCGGGCCACGCCTTCGTGGTCATGCCCACAATGGGTACGCCGCCGCCGCCCGATCCAAAGGTGACGAGTCCCATCCTATCTCTCTCGCCGAGGGTGTTGACCATGAATTTGAGAGCATCGCGAACAAGGTTGATCTTGACGCCTTGCATCGACGATGAGATGGGGACGACCACGACCACGTCGATGGGAACGTGGATGGAAGCCGGCATCGTCGGGCTTCTCTGGAAGTTGGTGTACTCGGTAGGCGCCGTTGTGGTGGATTTAGGGCCGCCCCAGGACGAGGCAATCGACGACACCCTTTGCTGTCGCGATCCACGCTGCCAATCATCCTCGTCCGTCTCGGAGAATTCTCCTCGGTCGTACTCTGGACTGCGGACTGGCGACGTTTCGACAGCGTTCAAGTCGAGTAGTGCTTGGTGCCAAAGCTTGAGCTGATTGCGGTTTTCGAAGCGAAGGTGGAACTGAGGCAGCTCCGCGACAGAGAGGTTTAGTGTAAGAATGTTCTCATCAACTGCCGAATGGTTAACGTCAAGACTTGAGTAGAAAAGAGGAATGTGTCTCACTGTTGCCCGTTTCCGAGACCTCGTTGAGGTGTTTCTTGATGAGAATGGATCCTTTGAGTGTGCAACGGGTGGTCTTCTTGGGCATGCCGTTTTCATCCCATTGCCCTGCGAGGGCTACCTTCTTCTCCTTTACGCAAATCAACATTTCAGCGAACAAGAAGCATTCCAGCTCCTGCCAGGATGCCTTATCTTTGCCGACGCGTAGTGTGCCATACAGCCGCAGTTTGCCGAATCTGGAGTGTGTCAGTCATGTCATTGGGCGCAGGCATGCAAGGAATGTGTGCCAAAATCTCACCTGCTGAAATCGAGCCCATGCCAGTTGTCCACACGGTTTCTCAGATTCTCGGTTTGTTCTTCGAGCACCTCCCGAGACTCGTAGGGATAAAATCGAGGCGCACTTCGGGCCGGGGATGGCGGTCGCGCAAACGCCTCGTCGATTCGGGCATTTACTGCAGGCGGGCCTGGCGGGGCTGACCCAAGATCTTCGGGATCGGGCCGCCACTTGTTGTCGGGTACTTCTACGGTGATAAGGCAGGTCAAGGTCTGCTGCTGCCGAGACCTGTTGATGGTGGGGAACTCGGATCGAACTGTCACAGTCGGTGCCGGGATCGGATTCCTCGTAATCGCGCGGGGGCTGCCCGGTGTAGTCTCCATTGCCTGGACGTCATAATCGTGTCTGCGCGGCGGGCCGCTTTGGGTCGTTTCGGGGTAGCCACCAGACGACGCAACACCGGTGGCCTCGCTATCGCTGCGAGCGTGCCTTGAAGGGCCGTACCTCTCGGAAGCCGGTGGCTGGCTGCTCTCCCTGTCGCGTCCAGTGCTTCGGGGCGCGCTTTCACGGGTATGGGTGCTGGCCATGTTTCGCTGGTTCGACTCGATGCTGGTGGGTCGCGGAGTAGGCGTTGGGTTGTCCCATGGCGTAGCCGTGGGCGTAGGGGTGTGATTTGACCTAGTCTCGGTGGATGAGACAGATCGAACGAGGTTGCTAATTTTTTCTGCAAAAGCATTAGGCGTGTCTCAGGCGAGCAAGACATTGGAGTGCGCTTACCAATATCCAAGACATTGCCGCCCCGGCTAGTGTCGAGATGGAGAGGCGCATCGCACGAGGGGCAGTACTGCGATTCGAATTCGCGAATAAACTCGTAGAAGCAAGCTTCGTGCGATACGTGCGAGCAGGAGAATTGTAGAATGCGCTCTCCGCGCAGGGTGTGCTCCAGTGGCTCCTCACATACTGCGCATTCGCTACCTACAAACGTGCGCTCCCTCCTGTTGCGGCCGGCGCCGGATGCCATATTGTTGGATGAGTAGCTGTCGCCTCTTCGGTGTGCACTGTCTCCGGATCGAACTGAGGCGTTGGAGCGCTGTCCTGTGCCGCGAGCTATTGAGACGTCTGTGTGTGAAATAATTAGCAACAGTAACTTTTCCCAAGTTTGGACGTCAAGCAGCAGGCTGAATGTCGGTCGTTCGGACGGAAAGTCAATTCGCGACGCTCAAGCAATCACGGGTCAGAGCCAAATGGGTGCCTACGTACTCTTCTCTGGAAAGGACGGCGCATCCGTCCACGTATTGTTTGTCCTTGTCGTTGTAGCAGTACCAGGACGGTAGGGGTCTTGAATGGCCTTGGGGCTCACAAGACCAAGATCGAGAAGGTGATTTACCTGACTGTCTTTGGTGCTTGAAGATCCAAAGCCGAACCCTTTCGAACCCTTCCGAGACCGACTGAACATTAGGAAAGCGCCGCGTCCGAGACTGCGCGATCAGGTGAGGTCGGCAGCGGGGAGGCAAACGTGCCGTAAAAGGGTGAAAGATCGTTCGAATCGGAGGGCGCGAATCGTCAAATCGTGGAGCACCTCGTAATGTAGGAGAGGGCTGGGCGTGAAGTATATTTTAAGAATTGGAAAGGTGATATCAGAATAGGGACGGTATAGGCGATGAGGATCTGGGATCCACCCGTGTGACTGGTAATGCCAACAGGAAAGCGAACAAGAAGGCAGAGGTCGGTCCCGGGTATGTGGCTGTGACGGGTTGTCACACAAGGACCTGGGAAGCCTGGCAGGGTGTTTCAAATGGTTGTATCAACAA